GAAATTCCAATCGTTGTACTGTTGATAATTGGCTCTGTTGACTAATGAGTTTGCCAACCATTGTCCTAGGGCAAAGGAAACTAAGGAGAAAGTAAACAAATGGGACTACATCAAAATAAAAAGTTCTGCACAGTGAAAGAAATCATCAACAAAATAAAAAGAGAGCCCACTGCATGGGAGAACATATTTGCCAATGGTATATCTGATAAGGGGTTAATTTCTAAACTATATATGGAACTCTTATAACTTAACAAAAGGAAGACAAACAATTCAATTAAAAATGGTTAAAGGACCTAAATACACACTTCTTCAAGGAGGACATACAGAAGTCCAAGAGACATATGAAAACTTCTCAGTTACTAATCATCCAAGAGATGCATATTGAAATGATGATCAGGTATCATCCCACACCTGTCAGAATGGCTATCACTAACAAATCAATAATTGACAAGTGCTGGTGAGGCTGTGGAGAAAAGGAAAACCTAGTACTCTATTGGTGGTAAGGCAGACTGGTGCAGCCTCTGTGGAAAAGATTATGGGGTTTCCTCAAAAATTAACAATGGAACTGCCATTTGACCTAGTAACCCCACTTCTAAGAATACGTCCTAAGAAATTAGAAACACCAATCAGAATATATGCACCCTTTATGTTTATAACAGTGCAAATTACAATAGCTAAGATTTGGAAACAGCCCTAGTGCCCATCAGCAGATGAGTGAATAAAAAGCTGTGATACATTTGCACAATGGAATACTAAACAGCTGTAAAAAAGAAAGGACTGTTACAACTTGTTCTTCAATGCTCAGCTTAAACTTTATCTTCTTTAAGAAGGTTTTCCTAACATCTGTTCTCTTCCCTGGTTTAGTTTGATGCCCTTTTCCTGAACTAAGTCCTTAGTGCAAACCCACAACATACTAAGGGAAGTGAAAAAGCATGGTATTTAAGAGTTGGGACTCTGGAATCAGACTGCTTGGGTTCAAATCCCATTATTGTCTTTTTACTACTTGACCTTGAGCACGTCATTTAACTTCACTGTGCTTTAGTATTAATCTCACAGTGTTGTGTGCACTGTCATACACATGATGTAATTAGATCAGTGACTGCCTTATCATTAGTGCTAAATATGTGCTAGGTATTCCCTTGAAATTTACTTCTATCCTAGTGCTATTACTGCTTTTCATCTTTCACCTTCTTTAATTTGTTTCTTGTCTAACTGTATTTCCCAGGCACTTACTAGTAGGTTAATACAAGTATATGAATAAATAGGCATTGATAGTGTTTCATAGTTTATCTCTATTGGATTATTGCCTCATTTATTACATCTTAAACATTAAAGTTATTATAGTTTCATTTAAAACTTTACATAGAGGAAAAATTTATTTTCTGATGTTACAATAAATACTTCCTCAAACTTAACTTTCTTTCTTATTCCCCTCTACACATACATTTGTTTAATGCTTCTTCAGGATCATTTGAATGACCATTTAATAATTAACAGTGCCTTTTTTAAAAATATATATATTTTTTATTTTCATAGAGGAATGAGGAGGTATATAGAGATAGAAATATCAATGATGAGAGAACCATTGATTGACAGCTTCCTGCATGCCACTTACTGGAGGATTGAGCCCAGAACTGGGCATGAGCTGTTGGCTGGAATTGAACCTGGGACCCTTCAGTCCTCAGGCAGATGCTCTATTCACTGTGCTGTGTCACTACTCACTGTGCCAAACTAGCTAGGGTTGACAGTGTCTTTATAATTCTTTTTTAATGCGAGGGAAAGAAACAGAAAAAGCATTCCCACTATTAAACAAGACAGGGGAGAAAAAAAAATATATGACATTTATAAATGCTAGCTTTCTGTGATCACAGACATGGAACTTGAACTTCTCCAAATTAATTTCTGACCTGTATTTAATACCATTATAAAGAGGCATCAAATTAGTCATCTTTTCTGCAAAAGACACATTTATTTGGAGAACTCTGAAGACTATGAAGCAGCTCAATACCTTGCTTAAAGGTCAGGCTCACAAACCCTTCACAAGAAAAGGTGGACTTTCTCTCCCATTCTAATATCTAGTGGCTTTCACAGGAGACCATAGTGTCAATGACAGCATGGGGTACAGATGTGGAAGCACACTCTTATTTATATATAACAATTATATGATATATAGTTTGCATGATTCAAATAGCATGGGTAGGCAGATTTACACTGAGTGGCCAGATTATTGTGATCTCTGAATCCATAATAATCTGGTCACTCAGTGTGTATCCTAGATAATAAAAGGCTAATATGCAAATTGTCCCCATGACCAGGAGTTTGACCAGCAGGTAGGCCAGCCAACCACCTATGTCCCCTCCCCCTAGCCAGGCTGGCTGGCCCCCACCCATGCACTAATTCATACACCAGGCCTCTAATATCTATATATCTATATATCTATATATCTATATATCTATATATCTATATATCTATATATCTATATATCTATATATCTATATATCTATATATCTATATATCTATATATCTATATATCTATATGTCTATATGTCTATATGTCTATATGTCCATATGTCCATATGTCCATATGTCCATATATCTATATATATCTATATATCTACATATCTACATATCTATATATCTATATGTCTATATGTCTATATGTCTATATGTCCATATGTCCATATGTCCATATGTCCATATATCTATATATATCTATATATCTACATATCTACATATCTATATATCTATATATCTATATATACACACACACATACACTGAGTGTCCAGATTATTATGCATTCAGAGATCATAATAACCTGGCCACTCAGTATATATAGAGTTTGTTGTATAAACTAGTATTAATTACTAACATTAGTTGAATACTTGAAGAAGCAAGGCAGGGTGGGAAGGTGTTTCATATACTACCCAATGTAATCCTCATGACAACTTATAAAGCATATAGTATTATTATCCATATAGTACAGATAGATAAACTCAGTTTCAGGGCAAGTGAATAACTTATCTGAGATCAAACAGCTTTAGTAGTGGAGCCAATATTTGTACCTAGAGAATCTAACTCCAAAACCCTAGCTTTAAATGTTATAACCTACTGTGTCCTCTGGTTAGTAAGAGTCTTGAAATAACTGCTATAACTTAGCATAATATCTATATCTATCTATATCTCTATCTTTATCATCTATCTATCTATCATCTACCATCTATCTATAAAAGCCTAAGTGACTATTGCAACTGAATGGATGACCAAACAGGCTGTGTGGGGCGACTAGGCTGGCAGGGGGGTTAGTGAGGGGTGACCAAATGACCAAGTAGCAGGATGTGTGGGGTGACCAGGACAAGAGGGGGGTAGTTGGGGTGACCAGGCCTGCGAGGAGGGCAGTTAGGAGCTATCAGGCAGGCAGGCAGGCAGGTGAGCAGTTAGGAGCCAGTGGTCCTGGATTGTGAGAGGGATGTCTGATTGTCGTTGGACATCCGCCAAGGGGTCTCACATTGGAGAAGGTGCAGGCTGGGGCTAAGGGGACTCTCCCTCACCATGCACAAATTTTGTGCACTGGGCCTCTAGTTGTACAATAATGTACCCCTTTGTTTCTGTATGTATCAGCACACTGCAAATGTAAAATGTTTTGCATAGTGCCTGACATAGACTATATATACAATATACATATGTATATATACTATATATCATCAAATGATAGCCAAATTTAAGTTAATACTCCTATATGGAGTAAGGACACAGGCTTGGAACCAAACAAACCTCGGTTTGAATCTTTGCTCTGTTACTTACTAGGAGTGTGACTATGAGCCTCAGTAGCTTTTTCTGAAAACTATGGTTAGTAATATTTGTTATAAATCGATAGAAAACAAAGTATGTATATATATATATATTTAAATATGTTTATGTATACATATAGCTATCCTACATGGTGAATGTGAATTCTGTGTGCCCGGTACCCAGAAAAGGAAACCAAGATCCAAAGGATGATTTGACCACAATAATGTCATTTTTAAATGTCAAAGAAAGCCCACTAATTTGGGTCTTCTGGGTCTAAGCTCTAGGTGCTTTATATACAGTTTTTTTCCCCTGAAGAATCACTAACATTTATTTTACAAAGGAATTTGTGTACCTTACTCTTTGTTTTTCTTTAAAAAGTTGTTCTGTAACAACTAAATAGCTTCAGTATAATTTATTTCGCCTTTAGAAAATATTTAAAAATCATTACAAGTGAAATAACTATAGTGTATAAATCCTTTCAAAAACGACCTTTTTTATTCATTAAGATATAGTACAGAAGACATATGGTATATTTGTTCTAGCTAGGTAAACCACATTTATATCAATGAAGTCATATTTCTAGTTGATGTCATAATTTTGCAGAATAGATTTCAGTGAGGTTTAGAAGTACAATCTTTGTATTAAAAACATTTATTGGAGTGTGGCATTGCATAAATACCAATATTAAGATCTAAGTTATTTTAAAATATATGTTTTGTTACTTTCTTTTTTTCATTTGTTTTAGCTAACTTCAATTATCCTTATCATTGGAGTAGGAAAATTGGCACGGACAACTCGGAAGTGAATAACCAATTCCAAGATTATATTTGATTCTGTAATATATTATGGCTGCAGGGTGCCAAAACAAGCAGTTCAAATGTAAACAGCTCAATTGAGCTACTTCTTTGTTATTAAATAGATTTTTAAAATACCAGCTGTTTAGTGAATTTAATTAAGCCAACATTTCTTGTAAGGTTTATGCTTTTTTTCCTTGTGTTATTCCTTTACAATTTGTGGCTGTTTTAGATAATTACATTAATTTGTTTCCTTCCTCATACTTGGCCTGAACAGAGCAGAGAGAGTAGTGTGTTTGCTGAAAGAGAAAAGCTGCTTAAAACTGGTGGGAAATGTTCTAGGAGAGTACATTGATTTGTGGGAAATATCCACTTCAAAGAAAAACCCTGCCAGCCTTTATCTGTTTTGGCCATACCTTCTGCTTCATGATCATGTTGTTGATGTCTTCAAGATCACCCACCATCACTCTCTGCGACTTTATAACTCGATCAAGCAGAGACAGCCAGTCTGTAAGTTCTGTCCAAGCCCGGTTGAAATCTGCTAGAGCAGGTACTTCCAAAAGCAAGGTGGATGGCATTTCAAGTTTGGAGATGGCAGTTTCCTTGGTAACCACAGGTTGTGTCACCAGCGTAACAGTCTGACTAGGAGCTATTTTTTTTTCAAAAGGAAAAAAAGAAAGAAAGAAAGAAAGAAAGAAAAAGAAAAAAGGAAAGAAAAATTAGAAACACAAGCTAAGAAGCCAATTCCAATAGCACTGAAACAACCTTAATTAAAGGACAACAATCTGAACCAAAGTATTATTTATGACATTTTTTTCTGAACAATGTGGGTACTTTATATATTATTACATGATAGAGAAATTCATGACTAAAACTTTTCATTAATACACATTAATACATATTTTACTAATATATAATCTTTCAAAATGATGTTGCTTATTCTCAAGGCTGGACAATGAATTTAAATAGTCTTACCCCATAGCTATTTTGTAACTACCAATCTGTGCTTCTTAATGCATTCACCTTTTTCACCCAGTCCCCCAACCCCTCCCCTATAGCAACCATCAGTCTGTTCTTTGTATCGATGAGTCTGTAAAGACTATGATGTATGGTGCCAGTCAGACACTAGATTGATCAGGGTGATCACTTCATAAGTTAGATACTAGTAAATGTCTATTCACTGGGTTGTCTACCAGAAACAAATATAATATTGTATGTCAATTATGCTTGAAAAAACTTTTAAAAAATAAGATAGTTTTCTCAGTAACCAATTACATAGATTATGGAATTGGTAAAAACAAATAAAAACAGTATTCAGATCTTGCCAAAGGAATAACTTTTGCTTATTTTTTAATTCAAGAAAGAATAACAAAAGGAAAGATTGGATAAGATCTTATTTCTGAGTTAATGATTTCCTTGAAAAGGAAGTAAATTACTTTGGAGGTAGACCCTAGGGAAATCAAAGCCAATGGAATGTTAGTTCTGTTTTATATTGGGAGCAGTTTACCATATATATATATTTTTTTTCCATTTTAGACTTTATTTAGACAGGTAATAAAGTAACTAGCAGGGAGTAAAACTCAAGCTATATTATTTTTGGAAAATCGGAGCTAGCAAAGTTTTTCTATTTGGATATGAAACACTGTTTCAAGGTCATTAAGAAATATTAATATTAATAGTGTTTAACACTGTAGTATAAGATAGTTCATAGTATTGGTTAAAATATGAAGTTCCTGAGTAAAAACACCTGGGAAAGAACCCTTCCCTCTGCCTCAGGAACTTTGTGACCTTGGCTAAGTTAGTTAACTTCTCTAAGCTTCATTCTTTTATTTTTCTCCACAGTTAAGGACAGATAAAAATCAGGTGAGTTATATAGATTCAATGACTAAAAAAAGGATTGTATATAAGACAATGCCAGAAAAATAGCAACAATATTAGCACAGTAAGTAATAATGTTAGGATAACTATTTTTACAAACACCAGATAAATAAGAAACACAGTGATGAACAAATATAGTGAGCAGCTAGAGATAAGGACTGGAAATATGTGAAATAGGGAAAACTCAAAGGTCTGTGTGTCTCTCTACTTACTGAAGGGGGCTGAACTTGCTGGTGTGAATTAATACAAAATAACAATAATAGCTAGGTTATCCAAGATGAGTAATGAAGTGTAGCAAATGCCTCATCTGGTTTATACGCAATGGGCTCTGGAACCAAATATGCCCAATAGGTCATCACCAGAGACATAGTGGACTATATTATTCATAAGGAGAGCTTTGAGGGAAAGCTTCAAAAGACAACAATATCTCAATGGGAGACGTGAGAGGCATGGACAATAAGAGAACTGTCCTAGGAACACAAGAAAAATGCACCATGTTGGCATTCCTTTCTCAGGTGGACTTCAATTACTTTTCATGGTTGTACTACTTTTAAGGTAGTATTTTTGGTAGAGAAGATAAAGAGAGTAATGAAGGAATTTCCTAGATATAAAACTTTGGAGAAGATTACAGGCACCTTGAGTCTAAGGGATTATACCATGCTTACTAAACTGAACTTTATGGAGCCTCAGACTACTCACCTGCCTAAGGGGAAAATGGTACTAATCTGATGGAATTAACTGTTTTATGAATTTAGTTATGTCTAGCACTGTAGGTATGTTGTGTGTGTATGCGCGCATGTGTGTGTTTTATTTTATTTTCCCATTTGCTATTAATTGCTTATTGGCTATCCACTTTCTACATTAGCATGGCATTCTGGGCTCTGTGTTTCTTGAACCAGACCTCACGCTCATGCTTCAGACTTATTTCCCTCCATTCTTCTGGGCTCCCCCACACCTCAGACCTATTCAGCATTCTCCAGTTAGTATGGGCCATTTCATAATTTTGTGACCTTCCATATGCTTCATATACTTCATGAAACCTCTTCTCACCCTTCCTTGCATAAAATCTCACTTCTTCTTTAAATCACAACTCTAGATTTCTGTGTTTTTTGGAGGACCAGAAAAAGTTTGTAATTTAATAGTCTCCACAAAGTATAGAATTACACCATACTTTTAGATCCAAAATACATTGATGTTTTCAACATTTTATTACTTAAATCTAATAATCGCTAGGTAAAACAAAATCTTGTCATTATTCATTTTGTTTTGTTGTGTGTTTTGGTGTTTTGTTCTGTTTTTTTTTTTCTGTGGCTAGAGGGTAGCTGAGCGCTGGATTCTAAACTCAGAAACTTTGGATCTCTCATAGTAGGAAAAGGGGCTGTAACATAATATAGAAAGAGACTAATCTCCATGTACTTTCAGACATTTTATTAGGACCAATTCTACCTTGAACACATTAAAATATTTCATTTTTCCTAAAAAGACTTGCCTCTAGAACCATGAATGTATGTGTGTGTGTATCTTGATTTTATATATATATATATATATATATATATATATATATATATATATATATATATATATATATAATATGTTTCAAAAGAGAAATTTTGAGGTCCTGAGAGCATTTATCTTATTTTATTATGTAAATCATGTTGATTCATACAGCACTTTCAGATGTCTTAACTTTTAAGTGAAAAGAAAAAGTAGAGTTTCTTTTCCACTATGTTATTTTACTAGAAACATAAGCAATCCTTCTCATTAGGTAAAGTGTGGGCTGCTCAGATTTGTAATAGGGTACAAAGAGAGATTTATCCCAAATCGAGGAACAGAATCTTCACTCTTATGGTCAAGAAGGAGGAATATTTAGTCATTATAGGAAAGTTTTCTGTAATTTAAAAGTTGGAAAGGGGATTTTCTGAGAGTTATCTCAACCTATAATTGTCATCAGGTTAGGAGTTAGGATAAATGGATTATTACACATAATCTTAGACACAGAATTCTGGGATGAGTCTTAAGGTTCTCCTCCCTATTGAGTATGGGAAATTGGTTTCCCTGCAGCTGGTGGGGATTCTTCTCTTCATGCTCCATTTAATTGTCCCCACAATCTAGTCTACTTGCCTGCAACATCCATCACCTGCCATAGGCTGCTGAGGTAACAAGAAATTGGCTAATGGAGATCCAAGTTATTTGACTCAAGTCTGTGGAAGGAATTATCTCTTTCTACATGGGGTCATCATAGAAAATGGTACTTATGGTGTCACACTATTATCTGTCTCTTCAGTAATGGATACTGGCATCTTTCCTGCTTAATTTGTTTATGTCAGAACCACATATATCACAACATACACAAATAAGTATGATAGATAAACACACACATCATATTTAGGTGTTTATATGTGTTTATATGTGTATAAACACACCCACCTATGCAACCATACATAGAGCCTGTATAGTGACATGACTGATGATTATAGCATAATGTTTCTCATGATTTCATTAGAAAATTAAAATAACTTTACTAAAATCTGTATTTTTTTCTTCCATAGCTCTGCAGACAGAAAGTGAAGCTCAAGATAGCTGAGATGAATTGAGTTTGGCACACCAGTAATATGGATAACACTAGGTGTATTATACTTTTGAAACCACATCTTTACTAAATATTTTTAATTAGTAAAAGGTGTTGGCTTTAGGAGGGAACTCTCAGGTTTTTTTCCAGGAGTGTTTGAAGAATGTTTTTTTTAGTCTAAAAATTTCATTTGTTTCAGGGATACATGATTAGTCAGACTAACAACTTTACTTAGGGCTTGAAAGGAGCTACTAAATTTTTTTAAAAACAGATATAATGTGTTTGGCATACTTCTTTTGAAGTATTCATATGTAGTTTTCCTATAGTTCACACATCTCCGTTGGTTGATAAGAAAGCAAGAAGCACATATATTTTTAGCTTTTTTGTATGAATGTGGGTAACTTTTTTTTCTTTACTTTTGTACTTGAAAATCAGAGAACTGGCTACATAATAAATAATTGGATTCACACTAATAAAAATATCTAAAAGTATCATTTGAGACAGCCTGGAGGGTCCTGGAGAGTATTATGCTAAGTGAAATAAACCAGTCAAGACAAATATAAACATCACATGATCTCACTTATATGTGGAATCTAATGAACAGAATAATCTGATGAACAAAATAGAACCAGAGACATAGGAGTGTGGAACAGACTGATGAGTCTCAGAGGGAAGATGGGGGTGGGTGGGTAGATATTAACTAGGAACTTGTATGCATATATGTGTAACCTATGGACACAGACAATAGTATGGTGAAGGCTGAGAAAGTGGGGAGGGTGGAGGTGGATGGAGTCAATGGGAAAGAAAGGGGACATCTGTAATATTTTCAACAATAAAGGTACATTTAAAAATTAACAAAAAAATAAAAGTACCATTTTTATATGTGGTCAAATTGCATTACTATTTAATACTGTGATTTATAGGAAATATTTTTAGTTTCTTCCATATAACCAATAGATAAAATAATTAAGCAATGTTGGGAATACTCTTTGAATATTTGAAAAGATGGCATGTAGCTTAAATAACTATATACAAATTAGAGAGTACTTGTTAGGAAATCATATATAGACTCAGAAAAAAATATATTGTGTGTCAGTAAGGAAGAACTTCACTTCTTCCCTCTAGATATCTGTGGTATATAGGCATAAGTGGAAAATTAGGGGAAAAATGTATGAACACATAAACATTTATTTTTGCCTACA